CTGGGCACTTTTTATAACATTGCACTTGGTTTTAATTCTCATGTTATGAGGTATTATATGAGGTGTTACTGAGAATCACGTTACTCAAAATTGTTTAACACACAAAGCCACACACCACACACCACACACGTGGTCGTGTGGGAAGTCTAGGCTACTGAAGAGAGTAAAGCTGGGTTTAGACAGGGCAAGACAATTGATCAAATCAGTTGAATTCAACTGACTTGAACGCGAATTGAACGTGTAAACCATGCCATTCAACTGACTTGATCAACTCACTTGAATTGAAAAAAGTTGAACCAGGCTCAACTTTTCAAGCCAATTGAATTCAACTGAGTTGATCAATTGACTTGCCTTGTCTAAACCCAGCTTAAGGAGTTGTTTTCAGTAGGAAGGCACTAGATGATTAGTGAGTTCACATCGTGGTCAAGGGTACATACTCGATTACTGCATAACAACACCACAAAACAAAGCCAGGTTTTTGGAGCATTTTTATCCATACTATAAAAAAATTAAAAAAAAGGGGCAGATCCCTAAGCGGCGGGCATCTCTCAATACCGGACATTGCTTTTATCCACGGTTTCATGCGTGTTATTCACGTGTTTTGGCATGTATGCTTCTTCTTATTTCTTGTCTTATACTTCCATTGACCGTTGAAATCATGGAAATCAGCAATGTCCGAGCAATGAGATATGTCGCGCTGGGGGATCTCCCCTTACATATGTACAGACATAGGGGTCCCATAGGCCCCAATTCATGTATTGGTATTGGCATCGACGTCTCTCAATTTATAACTGTGAAAGTGCATTTAGAACACTAATACCCCGTTCACACTACAACCTATATCATGTAATATAGGCTGTATTGCACCGAGCACTCATATAGGATTTCCAGTGAAAACTAAATGTATGAGTGCTCATTGCAAGACAACCTATATTATATGATATAGGTTGTAGTGTGAACGAGGTATAAGTTGAGAGCACGCAATAAGGTAATATGCGATAAGCAATAAGATTTAAATGCGAAGAAGAAGAAGTTGTACAGACATATTCTGATCTCGGCGAGCTTACTTGAATGTTTTTTGAAACTTGGCATCGGATCAAAAGACGGTTTTCTTAGCGATACGTATACTCTCCTCAGTAAAAAAGTTGTAATGTAATGTGTAAAAATGTAATATAAATCTATGTAATCCATGTTTCGAAATTGCTAAAAGCAGATACAATATTACATACATGTATGTGAATTTGATCACAGTTTCTTAGTACATTGTACAATGTTATATTACCCAATAAGCCCATTGACAAATGTGCAGATGGTTTTGTGAAATATTGAATAGCTTTGTTGTGTGTGTACTAACACATTTTTTACTATAATTCTATGTTTGCACTACGGAGTTATAACATGTTACATCAAGATAGCCTTGTAACATTTTATAACCCGCTATGCGAACGGCACAAGTGGTGTTTCTTGTTTTAGCGTGATTTGTTTATTTTTGAAGCCATCCATATTTCAAATTCAATCTATTCGAAAGTGACGTGTTTCGCTTTGTCTGAATAAAAAAAATTAGTGAATCAAGTGATTGGGAAGAAAGTGAGGATGAATCGGAATGCTCGATTGATGAGGAAATGGTGGTGGAAGAATATTCCGAGGAGGAAGACATAACTATTGGTGATGACAATGAAGAAACTGTGGGTGAAAGTCAACTGAATGTGTATACATCAAAAAGTGGTAAGCAATAATGCCAGAAGCAACAACATTCCTGTTACTGTGGCTAATGACAATAAGATAATTGAATGACAGAGATGCTGAGGATAGCTGTTTGATGTCCTTTGTATAAGATCCTGCTCAACTGGCTTGTTGGTGTTAGTGATATGAGGCAATGTTTAGTGGTGTTTGTATTTTATCATAATGTTTACTTTTTTTTGCATGAACTGCAGTGGTAACGTCACGTTGGATATTCGCTATATGGAACGTTCGTAGGTCTCACGCGTCGTCACTGTACGCTTGCTCAGCAATGTTCACAATATTTTTGCTGCTAATGCAAGCAAGCTATCTGTTGGGCCAGATCTATAATATATGTGTTGTATCGGACATCGATCTATGCCAGGGTTTTGTCAATGTTATGAAGTATAGGAGGAAGGTGGTAAAGTTCGAGAATCTGTTTGTATTACTTAGTAAAACAAAAATAACGTAAACTAATAAAAACATTTCGTCAATATTTGCAAGGACAGGACTGAGATTTTTTTCGGCGCCGGTGGTGTAGGGTAAGCGTGACTGCTCTCTCACCCCAATGGGTCTGGGTTCAATCCCTGCCGAGGTCGGTGGGATTTTTCTGAGGCATAAAAATCTCTGGTCACGTCTTCCTTCGGAAGGGAAGTAAAGCCGTTGGTCCCGGCCCTTATGCGTTGATGGGTACGATATCCTTACGCTGGTGTGGAAGCTGCCTCTCTGCACATTCGATTGTGTTCAATGGATGGCAATCGATATCCGTCGGTGATTGGCACTAGATTGCGGAACAGAAAACCGACGTTAACAAAAAAAAAAAAATAGAACAGCAGGTAACTCAGGACCATATTCAGAAATCTACCACTTGTCAGAGGAATCCGGATATCCAAGTTAATATTCTATGACTACCACGTGAGTGAATCGATATGACGCAGATAAATTTCAATTTTTCTCAGCATTCTGAGCATTTATTAAAGTCAAAAAATCATAGGTCCAGGCACACATTCAAAAACTGACCACTTTTATGAAGAATCTGGATATTCGGAAGGGTGTTTTATGGCTACTGGGTGTTTGAATTAATATGGTGCTGAGATGTATCCTCCTCGCAGAGTTTTATGATTACTTTTACGGTGATTCGGGAAATCCAGTTTTATGGTAGCATAATCAATATGGTGATGGCATTTTTTCTCTATGCTCAAGATTGTACGCAATTTAGAAAAATATTATGGACCTCTAGGACTAATTTAAGGAATTAACCATTTTACCGGCCTTTTATAGCTTCCGGGGGATCGAATCAATATCGCGCTGAGACATATTTGTTCAAATAAGCGCTCTATCCATTTTCTAAAAACTTGCAGAGCTCTAGGTCCACTTCCTGAAAATGACTTGTTTTCCAGTGATTCCGTATATCCTGAGAACCGTTTTCTAGCAACCCCTGGCAGAATCTATATGGTAGTGGTATATTTCCTCTATACTCAAGATTGTATGCAATTTGGAAAAAATCGCGAATCTCTAGGACTACTTTTAGGAATTGACCATTTTTCTGGTGAATCCGGATATCCACAAGGGTGTTTTATGGCCACCGGGGGACCGGATCACTATGGCACTGAGATATCTCTTCTCAACTAAGGGTTCTTCACATGTTCTAAAAAATCACGGATCTCTAGGTTTACTTTTAAGAATTGGCTATTTTTCCGGTGATTCCGGATATCCAGAGCACCATATTCCGGCCACCCGATAGCAGTATCAATATTTTGATGTCATATTTCCTTTATGCTCATGATTGTAAGCAATTTAGAAAAATCGCGGATCTCTAGGTCTACTTTCAAGAATTTACTGTTTTTCCGGTGATTCCAGATATTCAGGGGACCGTTTTCTGGCCACTTGGTTGCAGAATCGATATGTTGATGGTTTATTTCTTCTATGCTCATGAGTGTAAGCAATTTAGAAAAAAATCGCGGATCTCTAGGTCTACTTTCAAGAATTTACTATTTTTCCGGTGATTCCGGATATCCAGAGGACCGTTTTCTGGCCACTTGGTTGCAGAATCGATATGTTGATGGTTTATTTCTTCTATGCTCATGAGTGTAAGCAATTTAGAAAAAAATCGCGGATCTCTAGGTCTACTTTCAAGAATTTACTATTTTTCCGGTGATTCCGGATATCCAGAGGACCGTTTTCTGGCCACTTGGTTGCAGAATCGATATGTTGATGGTTTATTTCTTCTATGCTCATGATTGTAAGCAATTTAGATAAAAATCGCGGATCTCTAGGTCTACTTTCAAGAATTTACTATTTTTCCGGTGATTCCGGATATCCAGAGGACCGTTTTCTGGCCACTTGGTTGCAGAATCGATATGTTGATGGTATATTTCTTCTCTGCTCATAATTTTTAGCAATTTAGAAAAAATCGCGGATCTCTAGGTCTACTTTCAGGAATTGACCATTTTATCGGTGAATCCGAATTTCCACAGAGCCACCTTTCGCGGGTGTTCCCGTTCCGATTTGCCAACCACAAGTGCAATCAGTTCGTTGTCTGTTCCGTTCGAAAGTAGATAGTTATACCTTTCAAATAGTGGCTCAATCTTGAAATTTGGTAACCAAATCACCGAGAACCAGTCATGTCAACTTCAATCGACACGCATTTTGCTCGGGACTTTTCCGGGTTTTTCCGTTCCGGATGGCCAATCATAGGTCCAATCGGGTATCTACCTGTATTAAATGAAAGACGATAGCCATACCTTTCGAATGGTGGCTAAATCATAAAGATTGATCATCGCATTATTGAGAACCAACCATGTCAACCATGAATCGACACGCATTTTGCAGCCTTGGGGCTTTTAGGAAGTTTTTATGGCTTGGGGTTATGTCAGTTAATTTGTTATTCTAATTTACGTATTCACGTTTTTCTACTAGTCTACAAAGTACTTGGGTGAGTCTTGGGGGGTGTGTTATATTTGAATTGAAAAAAAAAGTGATAACCTAGCTAACTACGAGTATAACTTAGCCTAATGTGCTAGATCACGTATGATCTGATGAGTTAATCTCAGACAGGTGTCTATGAACCTTTCCAGGATAAAAACTCTCCATTCTTCTAATGTCTAAATTCCAGGCAGGAGGTGGATCTCAGAATTTCTAGTTCGCGGGGGACTGTTCAGGATCATCCTAAGGATCTTGTTCTGGATCCTTTGGAGTTTGAGGTGATAGCATTTGGCGCAACTCTCCCAGATTGGCATACCGTACTCTATTACGGGCATCGAAAGTTTATACCAGTTGAAATGAATGGAATTGTGGTACGAATGCAGCTGGACACCGGTTCTGACGTCACCATAATATCAACTGGAACGTGGCGGAAGATTGGAAGCCCTCAAATGAATCCGTCGTCTGTGACTGCGAAGACCGCTACTGGTAAGCCTCTGGAATTGGAAGGTGAGTTTTCATGCAATGTAGTTATTGGTGGAACGCAAATGCGTAGCCTAGTGCGAGTCACGAAGGAGCATCTTCACCTTCTGGGGTCCGACACGATCGAAACGTTTGGGCTGTGGTCGGTACCCTTCGACACGATCTGCAACAAGGTTGGCAGTGGTTCGGCGTGTGTGGAGGCGCTGAAAACGAAGTTCTTGGAAGAGTTTTCAGAGCAGTTGGGTCTCTGCACGAAGGCGAAAGTCAAATTGGAGCTGAAGGCTGGAGAGAGTCCTGTGTTTCGTCCGAAACGTCCAGTAGCATACGCTATGTACCGTGCTGTGGACGACGAACTGGATCGGCTGGAACAAGACCAAATCATCTTACCTGTGGACTACTCGGAGTGAGCGGCTCCGATCGTCGTGGTTCAGAAAGCGAGTGGATCGATACGTATCTGTGGTGTAAATAATAATTTTGACGGGTCTGAACGATGTGCTGCAACCCAATCAGTACCCGCTTCCCCTGCCACAAGACATTTTTACCAATTTGGCTAATTGCACTGTTTTTAGCCAGATCGATCTGACAGACGCTTTTCTGCAGGTGGAGATTGACGAACAGTCACGTCAACTACTAACCATCAACACGCATCGTGGCTTGTACCAATATAACCGTCTCTCACCGGGTGTGAAAGCAGCACCAGGAGCATTTCAACAGATCATCGACACGATGCTCGCTGGGCTACGAGGTGTTTGTGGGTACCTGGATGATGTAGTTGTCGGTGGAGTTGATGAGGCAGATCACAAGAAGAATTTGGATGCCGTGTTCCAGAGGATGAAGGAATTTGGATTCACTGTGCGTGTGGAGAAGTGTACGTTTGGGCAAGGGCAGATCCGGTATTTGGGACATCTACTGGACCGCCACGGGCTCAGACCGGATCCTGCGAAGATCGAAACCATTGTGAAGCTTCCAGTGCCTACGGATGTCAGTGGTGTTCGGTCGTATTTGGGAACCATCAACTATTACGGCAAGTTCGTCCCAAACATGCGATCGCTGAGGTTCCCGCTCGACGAGTTGCTAAAAGTAGGTGCACAATTTCGTTGGACACCAGAGTGCCAGCAATCGTTCGACCGCTTTAAGCCGATTTTGAGCTCGGATCTACTGTTGACCCATTACGATCCGAATCGTGAGATCATCGTATCTGCGGATGCATCGTCGGTTGGAGTAGGCGCCACGATAAGCCATAAACAGGCTTGCAATTGCTCATTACAGCTAAAATGTTAGTTTTTGTAATTATGAAACTATGGGATACTATAATGATAATTTTATTTGTAAGATGCAATAAGAGGTGGTAAAGTTTGTGTTTGACAAATAAAATTTGTCAATTTTCCTTTCAGAAGGTCACAACTAGCGATTTTATGATCGCTGATTGCTCGCTCATCGCGTTGCTCATCGTTACAGCTAATCGCTATTGTGACCCTCTGAAAGCTTAATTGACAGGTTTTATGTGTCATACACACTAACGGCGCCGGTGGTGTAGTGGTAAGCGTGATTGCCTCTCACCCCAGTAGGCCTGGGTTCAATCCCAGTCGGCGCCGCCGGGATGTTCTGAGGCATAACATCTCTGATCACGCCTTCCTTCGGATGGGAAGTAAAGCCGTTATTCCCCGGTTCATGAGTTGATGGGTCGATAGGTAGGGTCCAGGTGTGGGAGCTGCCTTCCTGGCACGTCGGTAGCATTGGTGCTCAGCACGGAAAACAAGATCGACGGAAAAAACAAACCAAAGGAAAAAAAAAATGTGTCATACACACACTTTACCTTCTTCTCTTGCATCTTGTAAATAAGAATTATCATTGATATATCTCATAGCTTCATAAATCCGAAAAATAGCATTTTAGCTGTAATGAGCATTTGCAAGCTTGGCCATACATTTCCTGATGGTTCAATAAAAGTTGTGCAGCATGCGGCCAGTGCTCTAACGAAAGTGGAACAGGGTTGTAGCCAACCGGATCGTGAAGGGTTGGCAATCATTTTTGCTGTGACTAAATTTCATGAAATGATCTTCGGTCGGAAGTTCCGCCTACAGACGGATCACGCGCCCCTTCTAAGAATTTTTGGATCAAGGAAAGGAATCCCGGTATACACAGCGAACCGGCTGCAATGGTGGGCGCTAACGATACTGCTATGCGACTTCGTCATCGAGCATGTTCCCACACACAAATTCGGTCATGCTGATGTGCTTTCAAGGTTGATAGACAATCACGCTAAGCCCGAGGAAGATTATGTCCTCACCTGCGTAATCCTAGAAGAGGATATAAGGTCAGTAGCGAATGAAGTTATTAACATTCTCCCGCTCAGTTTCAGGGTCGTTGAAAGAGACTCGCAATCCGACAAAAGCTTCGAAAGGTTTACCGTTACCTCCAAGATGGTTGGCCGCAAAAATCTACCATTGCGGATGCAGAGCTTTTGCGGTACCATGGTTGTCAGGAGTCACTAAGTACGGTAGACGGGTGCATCTTGTTCGTCTCTTGAACGTCTTGTGATCCCTGAGAAACATCGAGGTCGATGCCTGCGATAGCTTCACCAGGGACATCTGGGCATTCAGCGAATGAAGGCCATCGCTAGGAGTTTTGTGTACTGGCCTTCCCTAGACGATGAAATCGTTGATACTTTCAAGAGAACGGTGAAGAAAATTCAAGACGGGAAGAATACGCTACAAGAAGCATTGGACGTGTTCCTGTTGGTATACCGCACAACGCCAAACCGACAAGTCGGCGATGGAAAGTCTCCATCAGAAGCAATGTTTGGGCGCCGTATCCGAACAAATTTGGATCTGCTTCATCCACCGCCTGTTTCATCAACCGTTCAAACCAAGCAAGAAGAAGAATAAGAAGACCACAATAAGCGATGCTTTGCTGCACACGATCTTGTGTATGCGAAGATCTACAACAACAACAAGTGGCGCTGGGCCCCGGGCGTGGTATGCGATCGAATCGGCCATGTCATGTACACGGTGTGGGTTGAGGATCGTCGGTTGATACGAGCACACGTGAATCAACTACGCAGACGCTCCGGCGTTACTGAAACGAAACCTGCAAATAATCAAGGACCTGACAAACAAAGCTACCACTTGAGATTCTGCTGGGCTCCTGGGATCTACCGAAGTACTCGTTGGCTCCGGAAACTTCAACACCGAGGCACCCGCCAACGCCAGTTCCGGATCCATGTGTGTCTCCCGAAGAATCTTCACCTCTAGAACCTTCTGGAGAACAGTCGGTTCCTGCTCAGTCAACTCGTAGCCCAAGATTATCTACGCCAGTGTTGTCTTCGTCCACATCAACGTCCACAGCATCTCTAGAGTTTGCATCAGACCGCAGTGGACCTGCTACGCCGATACAGGTACTGCCACGCCGCTCTTTAAGACTTCGAAGGCCGCCACGTTGGTTCGACCCGTACTGTCTGTATTAAAAGTGGGGGATGTTGGAGTGCGAAATGGAATAAGCGGAGTGCCCCTACAAAATCCGCACGCCACTGGGCCACCGAGTTGACAGCGAGAGCTATCACACTATGATGCTACCGTTCCTGTGCATACCTGCAACCAAATGTCGATTCAACTTGTTTTATGTTTGTTATTGTTGAAAAGGTAGTAATAAACCATGTCGTTTTATCGTTAAGACGCGCGTTTTAATTCGTTTAATTCCGAGTGATTTGTGGTTTCACGCCCAGTATTCACGTCCACGGGTTTGGCCACCACACGGGGCCTGAAATCATAAAAAGTGGATACAGGGATCCCAAGTAACCAAAAGTTCCGCATTCAACGATTAAAATCACTTCCAAATCCATAAAGTTCAAATATAGTTTCGACCGAACCTTCAAGTTCCATAAAGTTCGAATAAAGTCCTGACAGAACTTTCAAGTTCCATAAAGGTCAAATAAAGTTCCGACAGAACTTTCAAGTTCAATAAAGTTCTGACCGAATTTTGAGATTCCATAAAGTTCAAATAAAGTTCCATCAGAACTTTCAAGCCACATGAAGCAATCCACACAAGTCTTTATTAGTAACAAAATTTAATGTATGTAAATATGAAATGATCAGTTCACCGAATAAATCATAATTCTTATATTTATGCAGTGCATCAACATTCTATCCAAACATGTTGGTGTTGTGTGTTGTGGTTTCGGTGTTGTGTTTCGTATTCAAGTCAGTCAGCGGGCACACCAACAGTAGGCAGGACAACAGATCACTTTGATATATCTCAGATGACGTAGCGGTTCGTGCTGGGGCTCTCAAGCAGAAGGACTGTGTTCAATTCTTCAAACAGCTCTAATTCTAGTACTAATAATACTACTACTGCTAATAAAGCGGCAAGCATCTTCTCGCATCCCATGCAACGTTACCTTCAATGATGCCCAGGCTAATACAAATGTGGATGCCGGAAACCTTTTCGCCATGTTCTTCGGGAGCGTTTTTAGTAAAGTGTCACCTGTACCAAGGCGCGATTGTTTTGCTCACGTTCCTTCGCACAACATCAACCTACCCGTCATTCAGTTTTCCGCAAATGAAGTAGTAGAAGTCATCGATGAGCTTGACATCAAAAAAGGACCTGGGACGGACGGAATACCACCCCTGTTGCTGAAAAACTGTTCAAGAGAACTAGCGAACCCAATTGCTCGCTTATTCAACCGATCACTTCACGAAAGAAGCTTTCCGACAGCTTGGAAAGCTGCTTGCATCGTTCCTATTCACAAATCTGGCAACTGTAATCAGGTGACAAATTATCGCGGCGTATCTATACTTTGCTGTCTCAGCAAAGTGTTTGAAAGACTGGTGCACAACGTTCTATACAACGTAGCGTCTCCCATCATCTTTGATGGTCAGCATAGCTTTATGAAGCATCGTTCTACAACAACGAACCTCATGTGTTACGTCACAGCACTGTCTCGCGAAGTAGAAGAGAGGCGGCAAGTTGACGCGGTGTATGTTGACTTTGCGAAAGCCTTCGACACTGTACCGCACATTCTAGCCGTGGAAAAACTGAAGCACATAGGTTTTCCAGATTGGATTACAGAGTGTATACATTCGTACTTGTGCGATCGTACTGCATATGTTGCGGTCAACTCGACTCGATCCCGCACTTTCAAAATCACGTCTGGTGTACCCCAAGGAAGCGTTCTGGGACCATTAATATTCAACATTTTTATAAATGACCTGTGTCTGCTGCTTTCCTCGTTTAAGCTTTCATTCGCTGATGACCTAAAAATGTATCGTGTCATAGCTTCTCTTCCGGATTGTATTGCCCTACAAGAAGATATTGATACTATACTGGTATGGTGTGGTGATAACGGCATGCGGGTCAATAACATGAAGTGCAAAGTTGTTACCTTCGGTCGCTGCAACAACCCCATTCTCCATCAATACAGAATGGAAACTGCATCATTGGAACGTGTGTTGTCCATATGTGACCTTGGCGTTACCATCGATTCGAGGCTCAGATTCAATGAACACGTGAGCATTACCACTGCCAAAGCTTTTTCTGTGCTGGGATTCATCCGTCGCCACGCTTCCGAGTTCACCGACATCCACGCTTTAAAAATTCTCTATTGCTCGTTGGTTCGTAGCATTCTGGAGTACGGTGCTCCAATTTGGTCCCCTCATTATGTAGCTCATGTTCTCACGATTGAACGGGTGCAGAAAAGGTTCTTACGGTTTGCACTGAGACAAATTCCTTGGAACGATCCGACCAATCTTCCTCCTTATTCTGACCGATGCAAGCTCATAGGATTATTGGAGCCACTATCTGTCAAACGAGTAACGATGCAGCGACTATTTATGTTCGATGTCATTGGAGGATCTATAGATTGCCCTGAACTTCTCGCACAGATCCCGCTCAACATTCCTCCTCGATGGTTTCGGAGCTCAACTTTAATAGCAGTCCCATACCACAGAACAAACTATGGCTACAACAACCCTTTCGATTCGTGTCTTCGCTTGTTCAATGTTTTCTGTGACGAATTCGATTTTAACTTGACTAAAAACGTTTTTAGAAATAGGATTAGTAGTAATTTCTAGTTTATAAGTAAAATAGTTCAGTCTGTACGACTAGTCGAAGACGATGATAAATAAATAAAATCAAATAAATCAATACACATTAATACTTGCCTTTTGAAATAACTTCCATAAAAGTGCGAACTAAATATATATAATTGCTGTAGGACAAAAACTTTTTTTTATTTATTTTCTAAAAGTTCCCTTCAAGTTCCGCCAGAAGTTGCTTAAAATGCTCTTCAATTATGGTACCGGAACTTTCAAGTTCTTATAACGACTTAAAAATGAGGCTGCTTAGAATTCTATAGACCACCTTCAACCAAGCTGCTTAAGCCACAAATAGCATTTTAACAGAACTTTTAATTACTTGGGATCTTATCAGGATGTTACACTAGGTTTTCGTTTTATCAACGTGCTCACTGAAAATCAGCTTGCTGTCTTTTGTTAAGCCAAGGTAGACTACCTCCTTCGACCATTCCACCACTGTGCCGTTTAGGCAGATCTTATTATTCTCCGACGGAACAAGTCTGGGAGATATAGAGTGTGGAAAGATGATGACCTGGGTCTTTGCCGCGTTGATACGGATCTTCCAGCTGTTGACATATTCAGATAGGATGTCCAGACCTCTCTGAAGTTTGGCAGTCAGAGCTCCGATGACCGTACCCTTATAGACGATAGATGTGTCATCTGCAAACAGAGACAAAGATCCACCATCAGGGAGAGCCGGCATATCGGAGGTGAACAGGTTGAATAGAATGGGGCCAAGGATGCTTCCTTGTGGAACCCCGGCACCGATGTTGAAAGCATCCTATGTGATGCCATTCAGAGAGACTCGGAACGTCCGGTCTGATGGATAGTTATTTATTATCTTCACTAGGAAGATTGGAAGACCATACTGCTGCAATTTGAACACCAGGCAATCATGCCAGACATTATCGAACGCTTTTTTCAACGTCCAACAACGCCAATGTTTTCGACACAGACTTGTTCCGTCTGAGAATGTTTGTTACTCGAGTCAGCTGGAGGACGGTCGAACGACCTTTCCGAAAACCAAACTGCTCCTCGAGTAACAAGTTGTTTTCTTCGGCAGATATTAGGAGCCGATGGTAGACTGCTCTTTCGAACAGTTTTGGTAACCCTGAGAGAAGGCTGATTTGTCGATAACTTGAAAGAGAGGACGGATCCTTCTCAGTTTTCCCGATGGGTATGACTTTAGCAGACTGCCAACACGAGGGGAAGTAGCCAAGTCAGAGGCACAGATTAAAAATAAATGCCAGATGGTTGTAGAATCTGGAACTCAAGTGTTTGAGTTCCAGATTCAGGATGCTATCGAAACATGGGGCCTTCATGTTTTTGGATGATTTGATTTAGGCCAACAGTTCGTCAGCCGTAATCTCGGATTCCTCGGGAAAAATATTAGGAAACTGATGGAGGTTGGTTGCATTTTCAGCAACCTCAGCTTCGTGAGGGCTGACGATGTTTTGTCCGAGATTATGGGAGCTGACGAAGTGTTGACCCATCGCGGCAGCCTTCTCTTAGGAGTTAACAGATAAACCACTGGGTCGCCGGGACTATCCATTGGGGACAGTGGTGGAATGGGTCTTGGCTTATTATTGGTTTTGCACAATCTGGGAGAGAGCGGATCCTGTTAGCAAAGTTCTGATTTCTGAGGTCCACCATCCTGGCTTGGATGGTTTTTGTTAGGCGATTACAGTGGGTTTTTAAGACAGGCAAGCCAGAACGCTGGTATTGCATTCGAATGGAGTTACGGAGTCTAATGAGATTTTTGGTAATTCTATCAAGGTTCAGAGTATTGCTCACCTGTCTGGATACTGGCACGTGTGGTTCGCTGGCCCGGGATATCGCCTCCTCGATGGGGCGCAGACACCGTAGGCCAATAAAATTATTTTCTCAAAGGTGACCTTCAGAAACTTACCGGTCATAGGTCTAACTTCTTTATTATTGGTGATTGTAATGCAAAACACCGCTCATGAATAATGGAAAATTCCAATGATAATAGTATAGTCTGTTTGATGATTGTTCTACAAGCTGTTACACTATTCAATATCCAAACAGCCCAACATGCTTTTTTTCAGCAAGAAATCCCTCAACTATTGATTTGGTCTTAGCTGATTAATGTCAACTTTGTGGCCAACTGGATGTCCATGCTGACTTCGTTTCTGATCACCTTGCAGTAACTATAAAATAAATCTACTCTCTTATAAACAGGAAATCCAAACTTTGCCTGAAGAATAAACTTTTAATATTTAAACAAGTTTTTAGACCGCCCATGCTTTACGCTGTGCCAATATGGTCTAGTTGTTGCACTATCAGCTAAACAAAAGCAGCGATTTATGTCTACGGTCCAAATTTCCAAAAAATGTATGGAAATGTTGTATACGCGGGGGGAGGTGGGTGTCTAAAACCTCTAAAAATCGGTCTCCGTAGTTTATGAACAGCCCCTTAGGGTTAGTAAAGTTTATCTTCCAGTAGAAGTGTTATAAAAGGATTTTCGGTATGACAAATAAATCATGTTTAGCCAATTACTACATTGCCATTTATTTTCTCAAAGTAGTCAACATTTCCAAATCAACCTATCACCGCACAAGTTTTACTTTTTATCAGGAAATACTGCATTGTAGGCTGATTTGGCAAAACCTGAAACGCTATCTTTCAATTCACCCATGCTGGTTGGAATCGTTGGCAGCTCGAGTTGTTTGTCTCCTGGCTTAACACCGTACACGAAGTTATATCCGATGGTGGCAAATTTTTTTGCTTCCACCAGACCATGCTGAGCGTACATTTCCGCTTCCTGTGGATAGCAAACGGACGCGACGCCACCGGCGCCGACCGATGTGTACAGTAAACGACGGATGAATCCACCCCGGAGACCAAAAATCAAACCGGCGAAACCACCGATGGCGATCGCACCCACACGGGGCATCGTGTTGTCTTCCTCGTTTAGGTAATCACGAATGACTTAAATAGACAAGCGAAATGGTTCATGGTACAATTATTTATCAAGAAACAAAATGCATCTATAGATAAACAGAATACAACGAAAAATGTATAACTAGCATACTGCCAATAAAAGCATAACAGCCACATATTTGCTTGATTTCCTATTCAAATGGGACTGTTACACGTTTATGGGTAGCATAAGCCTTGCCATTCAGTTGACATAATTTACTTTTAACTACTTTCCACCGTTATGTACTTGAACTTTTTAGATAATTCATGATAAATTACCAGCCATATATGATCCACAGTTTTTTAAAGAGCCCCTTAGGCTGAATTTTCACTTAAATTTTAAAGATGGAAAATGTTCAAATAAATCTGCTATTGTAACAGACTTTTTCTGACAGACTAGGAATCAATTTTGAGAAACACCTGAGAAAATCCCTCTGTTGTTGATCTTCCGATATTCGAGAAGGTGTTTGTCAAAATTAATACCTGGTAAGTCTGATACAATAGCAGATTTATTTGAAAATTTTCCATCTGTCGCGTCCAAAAATCAATGTCTAAGCCCATAAGTACAACATTTTGAAACTAGCCTCAAATGAAAGAGAAGCACCTAAGATTTCTTTTGATGGGTGTTTCAGTGATTCTGATATTTTAATTAACTGTCCTGCCAGAGACACCGTGATGATGTTCTAGTAAATTAACAACTTAACTGTCACTGGGTGACAGCCTAAGGCCACGGAAGGCCCATCTCGCCGCATTCGATACATTATCAAGAAAAATCACGCGTGGCCAAAAACAGGAAATCATTGTTACCTAACTAACATACATTTTAGAGATTTGATAGAAAACAGCCCTAGTCTTTAAAAAATTCTAATCGTGATAAGTTTATTATAATTGAACAAATCTCTACTTTCTTTCATTAGGACCAATGTTGCAAACGTAAACAATGGCTATTTTCGCGAATTTCTAGAGAATGAACACTCGCTCAAGTAAATGATTGGTGTAGAGGGAGAGTTTCCCTATCCGATTGAATTTGTGGCTTACATATAGCGAATTCGTTTATTATCGGAGTTGAAACCAGTTCCAACCCAGTGCCAAACCGAACTTTTTGTCAGTGCGAACCTCAACCTGAGCTAGGTTTTAAAAAAAAACTAGCAAACTGATATTTGTCAGAAAACAAGCAGACCCAATCTTGATACCCGATCCAGCGATAAACGAATTCGCTAATTGATAGACTTTGAATTACGAGAAATTTACGGAAGAAGCCATTGTTTACGTTTGTGAAATTGTCCCTTATGAACGCTTATTGTCGAATGATTTCGTATAGTTGAACGGATGCTACTTTTAGCAATGAACATTTTGCATCAAGGCAATCAAAATGCCAGTAAATCACAAAAGAACTACCAACTGGTACAAGAATTAAAATAAGTACTTACACTTGGTTTGCTTCTTTCCGTCCTCATACCACTGAACAACTTGTTTCCTTTGAGTCGACACTAGATTGGATGCTTCGGTGACCTGCACACGCACCACCCGGATTCCTTCCTCGATGGCCTGGACCGGCTTGGAGGGAACGCTCTGCTTGTGCCCTTCACATTCACAGGAAATTTTCTGATTGATTGGCCGATAGAGGGGCAGCTCCGATGGCTTGCAGATGATCGGTTTCTTTTCGGTGTTTTTCGACTTAGCGCCGGTGTCCCCCGAAGCTTGCACGACGGCGGCAGCACCCAAAACAAACGGGGCTCGACTGCAGACACCACGAATCATCGCTGAAATTTGGAAATATTAGTTGTTGGTCACTTGATGAACATCACGGAAAACTAGTTGCAAGAGTAAACAACCAAGGAAAGTGAGAAAATACTAACTTTTTCTTAAAATTATGTAATTTTGAACGACTACGCGACGTGAAATTTTGCGAAGTGATAGAATTAATTGTTTCGACAGACACAGCCATATGATTTTGACATGATGACGTAACACTAGTGCCAACTGTTGGTGCTTCCAAGAACTACCTCCCAACACTGAACGAAAACATATCACTTCTTACTAACGAACTCGCATTCGACTTCTTACCGAATCTATGCTTGTTGAGACAGGAACCATCTTAACCCAGCATTAGAGAGGGTCTAGGATAAGAGATGAGCGGACGCGGACTGGCTGGTTTTGAGCCAAACGAACTGTCAGAGCCATAGCCATACGAGCAGCGCCTATCTTGATTTCATTGGCAGTGTTGCTGACCCTCTCATAGTCTGCATGCTTCAATCCACAAACGAAGTGACTCGAAGTGGCTCGAAAACTTTGGTGACTAACCTGCTATTTCAATTTTCCAGTGTACCACATGGCAACACCACTACTACTGGATTGTACCACATGGCAACACTTCTACTGGATTGTACTAGCATTTTCACCAAATGTATTAGAATGTTTTGGTTCTATCTCTTTCACTCTACTCAAAACTGAAATGCATAAAAAATGACAAAATGATACACTCTTTGCACTCTGTCAAAGTATCATTGTACACAAAATCAACTATGTTCAAATCAAAACAATAAAACTAACCCATCTGGTGGATGATGGCACAAGCTTCCAAGAAAATTCTATTACAGTGAACCACATTATTTTAATGGATTTCTTCGCCAGTAATGATCAGTAATGAGAATTTCTACTAATTTTTGTTAAGATAATTTGACAAAATCACTGATATAATGATTTACTACAGCCGCATTTTTTTCTCTCGCTAGAAGTCATTTGAAGTTGTTGTAGAAGTCCTCTGTTGCCAAGTGAAAAGAATGGGAATCTTTCGAAAACCGTGATGCGAGTTCAACTGTTTTTCTCTTGGCGTGACTCATTATACACCGACTCTAGGAAAAGTTATTCCAATCCAGCAAAAGACCTGTCAAATGGATAAGATGTCGCCTCTTTAAACAATTCCGTCTCTTTAGCTAGAACCAAATCGACGTCAGCTAGGCAATTTGATGTCATTTGTGACAGCTGTCAAACTTCCATTCTGCTTGCACCCACATTGCGTTTGGGCCTTAATTGTAGATCAAAACGCTACGATGTTTTAAGTTCAAGGTTCAGTCTTTGAACTTACCTTCTTCAGGGGATATAAAGTTGTTTCACCTTTCATTCAGCACAAAAAGCTTTACGATCGAAAATTTAAACCAGCCTTGACGAAGATCACTTCGCCTGGATTGGAACGATGCCCTAATCAGATGTGTTTGATTATTTTGCTTAACGACGTGTTTGGGGTATCATCCAAAACATTTGTGGAATAGTTCTATAATTTATGTTAACGTTCGGACATCGTATATTTTTATTAGGGTGGCGATGATAAAACTGTAGTCTTGAGTCCTTTTTGATTAGGTCGTATGTCACATTTTTGTCAATAAGAGAAGCGAGGTGTTTTGTTTTAATGGACAACATTTTTTTTCTATTTTCAATGATATAGATAATTCCTTCACAATTCCCATTTACTAACATCTAACACCGGCTGAGTAAGAAGTTGATAGCGTTTCTGTTAAAAAATAAACGATTTTTAACCAATCAATGTTATACGAACTTTTGCATGCCGTGGTGCTACATTCGACCGATCACGCTTTAGCGGTTTAAAAAAGTATTACAATTAGTAATATTTCACGGAAAGCGTAGTTATCATTTTTGAACCAAACGTTTTACATTGAATATTTGCAAAATTTGCTCTTTTATTAGGAAAAACAACATGTGGAATGTCGAGGGGAATGTACAGTTTTTACGTTTCTGTTAAATTTGTTACATACGTTGATTGATACCTCCATAGAAGATAGGTGTCGTGTGTAACTGAGAACTTATCTTGAAATCTCTAAACTTTCCTGAACTTTTCTGGACTTGCCTATAATTTCCGTTCCTTTATTATGATTATTTTTGTATTTTCAAAAAAAAAATCTTGGAATTTCTTAAACGTTCCAAAAAATTTCCAGATATTATTGTAGGTCCTATTTATTCCTTTATTTAACGTCGGTCTCTGTTCCGCAATCTAGTGCCAATCACCGACGGACATCGATTGCCTTCCATTGACGGCAATAGAATGTGCAGGAAGCCAGCTTCCACACCTGCGTAGGATATCGCTCCCATTCAAACACACATGGCCGGGACCAAAGGCTTTACTTTCTTTCCGAAGGAAGACGTGACCAGAGATTTGTATGCCTCAAAAAAATCCCACCGACCTCAGCTGGGATTGAACCCAGACTCATTGGGATGAAAAAGCAGTCACGCTTACCACTACACCACCTGCGCCGGATAATGTAGGTTTATCGGTAAAAAGTGATCAACTCAGGGCGATAGTGCCATCCTTAAAACTTCCAGATGATCCCAGAGAAGTGATCGAAAACTGACACGAAACTATTTGAGGGGTTGATCAATCTCACTCCATATCAATATTTTAAAGCAACCTTTGACTGAACCGAGATAATTGATTGAACTTAATATACATTTATCTGTTAACTGTTCGTTTGAATGTACACGTAGGGATTTGTTTCCTCCGTTTTGAAAAAAAGCCCACCTTTTGTTTTCGCTCTACGTATTCAAATTGCGCATGCCTCAAATTTGAAACCGCCGAATCAATAAAATTCGAAGAGCCTTCCCAGCGATTTCACTTCATCGGGATAAGCTCTCGTGATAGCACGTATTTCATCAATCGTTCTCATTTAATTATGTGTGACTAAAAAAGTGATAAAAAGTGATTTCAAAACGTTAGGAAAGTTATTCTACGGCTAGTTTTATTTACTGCTATTTACTAACCATAATCAAAACATTTTTTGCAGCAGCTAAAATTATCTAACCTTTTGAACATTATAATGAATGGTATTCTTCCATGACGAGCGTGTGCGAGAGATTGCGTGTGTCCGATTACAATATCGATTTTTCGTAGCCTGACCTTGCTCTGTGTATTCAACGTTTTAATCGTATTTTTCCTTTCCAATTTTCCTCAAACTTTATTCCGTCGAACAGCAAAGTTCCTTTGCCTGTTGGTTACCGCTACAGAAACGCATCCATATGGATGAGACTGGCTGGACAATCCTGCGCATTCTTTCGCAGCGAAACAACGACGAAATTGCGAAGGAATTCATGAAACTCAAGTCAGAAGCACGGCAGGAGATTGCGGCTCAGGGCTAAGAAAAGTTAAACACATGTGTTGCGTGGACCGAATCGTTGAAAATGAATTGTATTATTAATAAATAATTATTATATTGCTATTATTACCAATATTGTCATTATTAAAGTTTATTGTTTTTTCTTAATGTAATTCTTTTTTGTAAATAATCATCGATATCTATGAAACTTTGTTAAAAATGTAGTTTTATTTCATAAAGATAAGCTTGGGTCACTATAGTTAAGCAGAAGTGCAGCCTTCAATTAGCACTGAGGAGGGTGGGTTTCAATTGATTTTATCATGGAGTTGCGAATTTTATTTCTTTGAAATATTTCGGCTGAGATATAATGCGTTATATAATATGGCTTGTAGGATTTAATTGAGCAAAAGCTATTAACAAGCATTATTTATTAGCATTTTGCTGAGGCTTTTAAAAACACCAATTAGCCATTTGCCCACATTTCAGGGAATTGATTTTTGTCTAATGACTTTTGAGTCGTACATCATTCGTAGTTTTGAGCTAAAGCATGAGCATGATTGACCGCCCATGGTTGCTACTCAATTACCAGTAATTACACAGTGAATCACCAGACATCCTTTGGTTTGTTTTTTCCGTCGATCTTGTTTTCCGTGCTGAGCACCAATGCTACCGACGTGCCAGGACGGCAGCTCTCCCACACCTGGACCCTACCTATCGACCCATCACCATCAGCTCATGAACCGGGGACCAACGGCTTTACTTCCCTTCCGAAGGAAGGCGTGATTAGAGATGTTATGCCTCAGAACATCCCGGCGGCGCCGCCTGGGATTGAACCCAGGCCTGCTGGGGTGAGAGGTAATCACGCTTACCACTACACCACCGGTGCCGTTATGAACCAACAGATGATGCTTGGGACTAACTATAATCCTCAATGTGTTCAAACTGTGCAATAGGCAATAACAACACCGATTGCGTCCGAATGTGTTGACGTGATACGGTGATACTCGTTTTGATGGAAACCGAAAACTCCTCTGCACTTCGTCTACAAATCTTCTTATTCTTCTTCTTCTTCTTCTTCTTCTTCTTCATTACTTTATTTAACGTCGGTCTCTGATCCGCAATCTAGTACCAACAGACTTGATGGAGTCTCGCTCTTAGCATTTTTCTGAGGAGTAGAATGCCTACTGCCAAATCATTCCACCGAGCTTCAGAGCTTGTGAGTGAAGGGTGATAAAATGAGAGTGAGGTTCACACGCTCTTAATATTACTCTCACTCTGAGCTTCTTGCGTCGAATAAAAAAGTCATCCGGAGTCTCGAAAAGCGCACCTCATGTCAAATCATCCTCTCGCGGAAGTTCACCCAAGTAACCAAAAGTTCTGATAAAAGGCTATTTATGGTTTAAGCAGCTTGGTTGGTGGCGGTCTATAGAATTCTTAGCAGCCTCATTTTTAAGTCGTTATAAGAACTTGAAAGTTCCGGTATCAAAATTGAAGAGCGTTCTAAGCAGCTTCTGGCGGAACTTGAACGGAACTTTTAGAAAATAAATTAAAAAAGGTTTTTGTCCTCTACACCATATTCTATGTTTAAGTTCGCACTTTTATGAAAGTTTTTTTTTCTAAAGGCAGGTATTAATGTGTATTGATTTTATCAGCATTAGTAGTAGAAATTGGAGCTGTGTGAAGTTTAAAACCCAGTCCTTCTGCGTGAGAGCCCCAGCACGAACCGCTGCGTCATCTGAGATATAATAAAATGAGCTGTTGTCCCGCCTACTGTTGGAGTTTTCAGTGCCAGCTGACTGACTTGAATACGAAA